ATAATTGATGATTATTTTTTTTTCTCTCTTGTACTTTGTATCGCTTCAATGTTTATCAGATCGAAGGATTGTTTAATTGTAATTCTAGCGATAAAAAGAAAAAAAAGAAAAAAATAAATAAAAAAAAGTAATGTCGAATCGTTGAACCTTTTTTTTCCGATGATTAAATTAAATCAAACGTTTCGTTAAAGTCACTGAGTTTTCACCATTCACAAGACATATCACATAAGAAGATTGGGTCTTAAACTGTGAACAGAATAAGGGAGGATAGAGAACTTATTTATAGATTTGAAAGAGAATGATCGAGAATAATATAGAATGTTAGATTTCGATCGGTCACGAATTCTATGCAGTAAGAGGGATTTATTTCTGGAATAGCGATTGGTGAACTTACCTATTAAATATTACCTAAGACAAACGGAGGGGAGGGGGAGGGGAACGGGTGAGGTGGGAGAAAGGGGCCGAAGATAAAGGAGATAGGTAAAGGGTGAACGGTGTCAAGGGGGTGGTTGAAAGAGGGACGGATAATGGGGGTAATATTCAGCCGATGGCCGTTTACCCTTTAACGATCATTCCTGTTGGTTACGGTCGAAGTTGTAGAGGAAGATGGAGGAGGATTGAAAGTGGAAAGAGATGAGGAGGATGAGAATGAAAAGGAGGAGGAGGAGTTGTTATGCGTCAAATTTAATTTTCCAAGAAATTTTCCGCATCGTAGGTGCAGCTTATTCCCCCTCTCTCTCTCTCTCTCTTTCCCTCTATTGCTCGTTATCGGTCTCGTTAATCTCGAAATTGCATTTCCATTATCCTCCTACTTGGGCACAGATCTATATCGACGTCTATCATATGAAAATAATCGGTCATAAACGAGACAGTTAATGGTCGGAGAAGAATAAACGATATATACATTAACGTGTATATATATATATATATATATTTCAAAATTAGAGACTGATAGTGAGTTCGAATAATCTAGAAAATCTTGAATGAATTAACTTTATACATATATATGGTTATATATATAAATATATATATATATATATATAGAATCATTGAATGGTATTGTCTTAATCTTATCATTAAATAATAGTCTTGCTGGTATAAGTAGGTATATGTATATACGTATATACTTAACCGATAAATTGTATTTTATAAAAGTACGATTATCGATATTGGAAATATTATTTTATCATGGTAACCATAAAATTTCAATACCAGTTTGGTTCTATTTCTAAAATACATCGTCGATTTCTCAATGCCTATCTCTAAATATATGTTGGTACTTAGGATGGTAGTTGAGTACTGTCTGCATACTCTATTCGTATGTATATAACTATATATTACATAGATATCTTTATATACGTACGTATAACGAAGGATATTTGAATGGTCTCAAGAGGAGAGACATATTCGCGTATTTACATCTTCGAAGCTTCTCTTAGTAGAGCTCGGCTATGCAATCCTTAGAAGGATGCACGCGATCCTTCGATCGAAACGAAGAAGAAGACGAAGAAGGAGAATAAGAGAACTAGCTATGCCGACGTAATGAGAGACTTCGTGCCGAAGGAAAATGAGTCCCTTTTATCGAATAGGTACTCGTATTAAACGTGTGGGTAGAAAAGAGAGATAGAAAGGTGCGTCAACGAAAATGATTCTTTGTACTCTTATGCGATACGGGAGACATGATCGAATTGAAATATCTCGTTACTCCATCGGTATAAAGATATTTATATTTATATATATATTTATATATATATATATATATATATGTATGTATGTATGTATGTGTATATCTATTCGAGTAAATTTTTCTTTTTTCTTTGTTTCTTTTAATATTTTCTTTAATTTCTTCTTTCTTTTTTCTTCTTCTTTCTTTTTCTTTTTTTCTTTTCTTTTTCTTTTTTTTTTTTTTTTTTTTTTGTATACACGAGAACTTTATCGAAATGATTCCTTTCAACGGACGATTCTTTTACCTTAGTAATTTTAAGTTGAACTATAATCTTTTATTATAGTTGTATCTCATTATGAATGGTAATACGTATGTTCGTATTGGATTAAAAGCGATTTTAGAGCCAGACGTTCGCGCGTCGTTACCACTTATCGAAGATAAGCTGTTTAATGATCTCGATAAAGAGGTGCGTGTAAATACATCGAGAAGAAAGAAATAGAAAAGGAGAGAAAAAGAGAAAAAGAGAGAGAGAGAGAGAAAGAGAAAAAGATTAAAATTATTTCCAATAGAAAAGAAAGAAAAAAGATGGATATTGTTTCGTTTATTAGAAAAATAAAAAGAAAAAAAAAGAAAAAAAAAAATATATATATAAGGAAAAGGAAGTTAACATTCGAGTATCACAACGACTAGGATGAATGCGATAATTAAAATCTAATATACAAATAAATTTTCACGAGTTGATTGCGGTAATAGTATTATTGGAAAATTCACTTAACACGATCGTCTCTTCTCGTATTATTACCATCAAGATCGAATATCGATTTTTATACCGACACCTACCTAATCGAATCGAATAGCTAACAGAGATAAATAACTACTTATCTCTTTACTATACTCTCGAATTATTGTATTATTTTATCTAGTTACTTGAATTACTTTTACGTATTCTTTTTAAATAAATATATATATATATATTTTTTTTTTAATATTATATTTCGAAAATAATTCTTACGTGAATTGTTTCAACATAATTTCGTGTGTTTCAATTCTTTCTCAGAAATATGAGGAAATAATAATTATCGATAATTAGATATAGTTGAAAGATATTTATATACGTATCTACGTTTGATATTTATTTTATTCAAATCGTCGTGGCTATTAAAATGTCTTCATTAATTTTATATATATATATATATACTTATCTCGTATGATGTTTTATTTCCATGTATATAAATTCGAAATGAAAAATTTTAAATATATCTTATTCTCTCGTTTTATTCGGTGATTTAAGGAAGGATCGACCACACTCGTACCCTCGACGGAAATACCATAACAGAAATAAAGAAAATGATAGACCGTGGAAGGCCACCGCAAAGTCGTTCTCGTCGTGCGCATCTTTGTCCTCGTAAATACGTGACTAAAGATTCTCCGACGATGATTGTCAGGTGCTCCTCGAACTGACGGATGGCTTAACTCTTGCGGTTTCATAGCCTTTACAGAATATTTTTATTCTATATTCATCTATTTATCTATCTATCTAACTATTTAACTATCTATCTATCTATCTATCTATCTATCTATCTATCTATCTAGTCATCTATTTAGTTGTCCTTCTTCTTTCTTGATAAATCGAAATATTTTTTATTCAATTCAATTGTATGAACAACAAATGAAATTAATTTCATCCTATTCTAAATTAATACAGTATAGAATAATCGTATGTATAATTATAATTAGAAATTTATTATATAGAATAATATATTTCTTGAATTAAATTCGTTGATCATTTTTTGTCGCTTGATTAAGAAAGTTCGATGATTAAGAAACAAAAAAAAAAATAAATAAATAAATAAAAAGAGATTAAGACAAAATTTCTTTTTCATTCCTTTATTTCCAAATTAATGTAATCAATATCAATTTTATATATAATAATTAATTATAATAATTTATTCTTGAATTAATTTATATATATACATACAATATATAATATATATATAAAAATATATATACATATATATATATATATATATATATATATAATAGTTGTAAATTCATTAAATACGCATAAAAGTAGATACATTTGAATAATTCCGTTCGTTCATATTTCGTTCCATATGTTAATTAAAAGAAAACCTTAAGTAATAATAATAATAATCGTAACGATCGAGATATCGAGTTATCGAAAATGTTTGAAAAAAAAAAGAAAGAAAAGGAAAAATATGTTCCATCAAACGATCTATTTGCCATTGGTACTCTCCGTGTAACGAGATTAGTATAAATTATTTCTTTTTTCTTTCTCTCTCTCTCTCTCTCTCTCTCTCTCTCTCTCTCTCTCTCTCTCTCTCTCTCTCTTTGCTTCTCTTAAGGACAACTCTCGATGGACTATTTAAATAGTCAAAGATAAACAGGATCTCGTGCTAAGCGGAACGGATATAATATACATATGTATAATATAATATATTAGCTATTCTCGATATAATAGTGCGTGCGATAATTGCCTCGGATAGGTGGCATTTCGATAACGAGTGCGCAAACGAGTTCCCTGTTGCGATTTACACGGTTACTTTCGCATAAGTGCCCTCCTTCCTCTTCCCTCTTAAATCCCCTTTCTCCTTCCTTCCTACCCAGATAAAAATTTATTTCGATTCCTGTTTGTATCTTTTGCTGCCGACTTCTTGCTTGTGTGTAATGGAACTGGTGCAAACGATATCGGATTAACGGTTATTTTATTAATGTCCTTACGGCGAATCAAACGCACCTGTTAGCAAATACAAATGAGATTCCACTAGATTCACAAGCTCCTATGAGCTTCGATAATCGATTTAAATTATCAATTTTCATTCTTATTTCTTTTAAGCAATGAGAATAATATGAGAACGAGGGGTCGGGGGAGAGGGATATCCTTGAAATTTGATAATGTGATCAGATCAAAAGTTAGATGGATTAATTATTAAAAAAAAAAAAAAAAAAATAACAGATAAATATTCGATATTTCTTTATTTTATTAAATTATATACATAATGAAAGAAAAAAAAAAAATATATATATATATAATATATACCAAAAATCGATAGAAATGTATATTATCAAAATTATTATATTACATTATATTGTATATATCAATATAAAAAAATTAACATTAAATATATATATATATATATATATATATATATATTTTCTTTCTGTTTCATTACAATTACATATTAAATTACATATACGATATGAAATATCGTAATGCTCTCTATATTTATATTTACATATAGTATAAATTTATACACAGTAAACATTCGTAAGGCCCTTATCAATGTACTTTTATTTTTGTTCGATCGAAAAGCAGTAGCTGGAGCATTTCCAAGAAGAATCGGTCATCCTTATCAAAACAGGACACCACCTAAGAGGAAGAAACCAAGAACGAGCTTCACAAGGATACAGATCGCCGAGTTGGAGAAACGTTTTCATAAACAGAAGTATCTCGCATCGGCCGAGAGAGCGGCCTTAGCAAAGTCCTTGAAGATGACGGATGCGCAAGTGAAAACATGGTTCCAAAATAGACGAACGAAATGGCGGTAAGTTTGACGAATTTTCATTTTACGAATTACAGATATGCATACATGCATGTATTGACGTGGAAATATATTTTTGTTTTTTTTTTTTTTTTGCTTTTCTTTTTTCCTCTTTTTTCTTTTCTCGTTCCTTTTTTTTTTTTTATATTAACTATCTCCTACCTTTTTCTTATTCCTTTGTTATTATTTTCAATGAAAACCAAGATTGAAAGACCGAGCAACGATTTAATACACTTAGGTACATCTTATCTTTCAAAAATAATATACGTATATATATATATGTTTTCCATAATAAAGAGACACGATCGATATCAATGATCGTGTCGATGATGGATATAAACAATAATTTTCGAAGGTTTAATATACAGGACGATAATAACTATAGCCATTTAATATAAATATAACTATCGAAGAGTATGCATTGTTGACGTTTTGTAAACAAAGATAAAATCGTACGTAGCATATTATAACGGTACTTGGCTCAATTACATACATGTATATATATATATATGTGTACTTACGTATATCGTAAACATTCATTTCTGTGCTTAAATTCGTAATAATTATTAATACATCGAAGTGTGTTTCTTATCAAATAATCCGATCGTGTAATTAAGAAGAAAACATCTGATCGTACCTGCTACGTATTAGAATGCAAGCCTATATATATTACACTCATACACATATACATACACATACACACACATATATATATATATATATACACGTCAGTAACATCATTTGAAATGGCCAAATTTAACCAGGCATAGTTTCGTTCGTGAGAGAGAAAAAAAATTGAGAGAAATGGAAGAATTGGAAAAGGAAAACGCGTGCTCGATGCCACCATTGGAATTTTAATAGCAACCGAACGGTTTGTGTTAAAGCAAGAAAGAGAAAAGGCAAATCTTTATTTCTCTTTCTCTTACACACACACACACACATATACACACACACACACACATACACACACATATATATACGTTTCTCTCAAGAGCACATTGGGAGTCGAACTGTATGGAGTCTCTTCAAGATAAGGAAGGACGAAAACACGTCATTTAGATAAAAGGGGCCCCGTTCGTGGCGCGGTCCTTCGATAATACAACTCAGGGGCGTCTCGACGGCGAGACGAGCACGGCGACATTCTCCACCATCACCATCACCATCACTAGCTTCACCAGCCCTACAACAGTTCCACAAGCTCCATCAGTTTTACCATCACTACCATCACTACTAACACCACCATCACCATCACCATCATAAACATCACCACTAACACCAGCATAATCTTTCTTATTCTTTTCTCTTCTTCCTCCAACTCACCTGCCACCGCAGAGTGAATTTCTAAAAGCCGCCGTACTCCCTGTTGTCGTTCTCTACCTCTTTTGGCCCTTCTACGAAAAAACATATATGTATAGGTAACTACCTAAGCATACATATATATATATATATATATATATATATATATATATATATATGCGTACGATAGATAGATACATACATATATACATATATATATATATATATGTTCGTATGTATGTATCTATGTACATATATATATGCGATAAAGCGGTAAACGCGTGGATAGGTCCGACCGAGGAAGGATTCAAGTGATAACAGGAACGAGACCGACGAGCTGAAAGAATTGGAAATTCCTTCTTGGGAAATGGACCTCGAGTACCTCTGTGTTATCCTGTTTTTTCTTGTTTCTTTGTTTCTTTTTTCTTTATTTTTTTTTTCTTTTTTTTTTCTTTTTTTTTTCTTTTTTTTTTTATTTTTTGGTCTAACTTATATCTATCCTATAAATAGTTCGTGAAAAATCGATGGATCTTTAATTTTATGTTCTTTTTCTTTCTCCTTTAAAACGTTCTCCTTCTTCTTAATTCCCGGAATAATACAACATTGCGTTGTGCATGTGTATTTCATATTTTTTTTTCTTCCGTATTTCTTGATTTTCGTTTGCTCGCTTTTCCTTTCCCTTTTTTCTTCTCTTTACTTTATTATCTTTTTTATTCATTTATTTATTTCTTTTTTTTTCTTTTTTTTTTCTCTTTTTTTTTTTTGACGACAAACGAGCACGAAATAAAAATTCAATAATCAATGGCGTATATATGTAAATTTCATCTCATTTATATGTATCCTTTTCTCATAGAGATGTTACTTTCTAATTAAATCTCTTGACTCGATTTACTCGTACATACGTACATTACATGCGTTCTCTAGTAGAGATAAATAACCAGATAAATAGAAAGTGTTCGATGCAAATCATCAGAAGGTATTATATTTGATATATCGAAAAGTTAGGAAAATTTATTTGCAATTTTGACGAAGGTTTAAATGAAAATCAGTTTAGAAAACTACAAATAGGAAGAACAAAAAAAAAAAAAGAAAAAAGAAAAGAAAAGAATAGAATAGAATAGAATAGAATAGAATAGAAATAAAGGAAAGAGGACGTCGCGAGAGGGTGTTTTCAGTGACGATCCACCACGAGTGAATCCGTGTTACGAATCTAGCTCAAAGTTTCAGTGGTAGTCCAAGCGAGTGAACGAGCAAGCGAGCAAGCGAGCGAGCGAGCGAGCAAGCAAGCGAGCAGCAGCTGCGTTTAAAGTAACAAGATGACTGTAGGCAGAGACGAGATAACTCGGTCTCAATAATTCAGCTACCTAACAGCTTAGCCTTGTCCCGTACATAATGTAGTCCGCACCCTCCCGTCGCGTTCTCTCATCCACCACCACCACCACCACCACCACCACCATCACTACCACCACCACTACCACTGCTGCAGCAGTAGCAGTAGCAGTAGCAGTAGCAGCAGTAGCAGCAGCAGCAGCAACAGAAGTAGTAGTATCAACAGCAGCAACATCACCATCACCACCACCACCCCACTTTCAATAACCAACATCAGCAACATCGGCAAGAGGAGTAGAAGCGTACCACCCTCCTGCTTTGACTGCCAACCATCACCTCTCTCCCCGTCTCACCGTCATTGGAGAGGGGTGTTAACCCTCCTTGAAATCCTCCCACTCTCATCCCGTCAGCCCTCTCTTTCTACGCCAACCAGGCGACGGGTTCTTCCCTCTCAGCACGAACTTCTTGGCTTTTAAACTGTCAAACGATTCGAATCCGACGCCTGGAAATCGGACTTCGATATCTCTAACCTTCCTCTCTCTCTCTCTCTCTCTCTCTCTCTCTCTCTCTCTCTCTCTCTTTCTATCTCTATATCTGTCTCTATCTATCTCATTCACTCGGGTACACCGATTCGACTCGTTTAAAGATTCATCGACTTCTGTGTACGAGAACGCCTACTGGTAACCGTTCGAACACGATCACCAAAGCTATGTCGGATATATCTACTATATATCTACTATATCGTTCGACGTCCTGCCTACGTTCCCGACGTTAGGTACATATTCTCTTTCAACCGGTTCTCTCTTTTTCTCTCTCTCTCTCTCTCTCTTTCTTTCTCTTTTTTTCTTTCTTTCTCTCTTCCGTGCGAAAACGATCGAAGCGAAGCGCGCATCGATCTGGATGATCGAGCACAGAAAATGATTTGTAACTTCGATCCGTCCGTGATATTATTGGTATATACATACATAGATATTATACCGCGATACTCTCGAGTCATCATGAATCTTCTATGTAAATACATATTTTTTCTTCGAGATAAAGAGTATCTCTTTTAACCAGAACTATCTCTCTCTCTCTCTCTCTCTCTCTTCCTTCCTGATACTTACATCTTCCTTTTATATATATATATATATATATATATACATATATGTGTGAGTATGTGTACATATTTTTTGTATTTTTCTTATTTCTTTCTTGTTTATTTATTTATTTATTTATTTATTTATTTATCTATTTTTTTTTATATATAGATCGAGAACTAGATATCATTTTGCTATGAAAAATTTAATGGTGATAGTTACTCGAAGAGATAGCAGATCGTTTCTATAGATCGTAATCGCGCTTAGGTATATTATAACGGTATATTCGGAACGATATTTCTTCTCCTTTATTATCGATCGTATGTAAGACAATCGATCGTAATATTTCGATATTTTTTACGATCAATAATCGAACGGATACCACAGACGATTATATTTTTATTTAGTGATCGATTTACGCGGTTAAAATTCTTCGTATCTACGATCTATGCATCTGTATCTTCGTATGTTCAACAAAAAGAAAAAAAAAAAGAAAAAAAAATAGAAAAATAGAAAAAATAGAGAAGAAGAAGAAGAAGAAGAAGAAGAAGAAGAAGAAGATCTAAATTGAAATTAGTTACTTATCGATCATTGTAGATCGAGACGGTGTCAAACGATCGGTGTTTGAAAAAAATATATTCATTAACACAAGTCAAAGAACAAGTTAAACTACTTAATCCAAAAGGTTGTTTCCTTTTTATCTTCTTTGTTTTCTTTTCTTTTCCTTTTCTCTTTTTCTCTTCTTCTCCAATCATTATCATAACTAGTACGAGATGACGACGACGACGACGACGACGACGACGACGACGACGACGACGAGAAGGACAAGTTTTTAAACTGTAATCGCGTGTTAATTTATAAGAGATTACCATTAGGGATTAGTTATGTCTATAGAAAGTATGTATCAAACAAGATGAAATCAAACGAATTTACATTCAAATAGTTCGGTCGTTCTTTAATAAGAGTAAAAAATTCTTTTCTATCTATTTATTAGATATTTAACATACATATACACGTAAGTATGTGTGTAGTTTATTAATATGTATTAATCATTGGTTTAATCAATTTAGTCGTTCGATCATGCGGAAGAACGAATTAGTGAAGTTAGATATATATTATTTATTAGTATTGATAAGAACGATAGAAAAAAAAATAAATGTATGTGTGTGCGCAGGTGTGTGTGTGTGTGTGTATGTGGTGTGTGTATGTGTGTATATTTTATGTCGTTTCCGACGGAGAAGGAAGTTGATCTTGGTGAATCGCACGCACGATTGACGACGGAATGTTAATACGATCAGTTTCTTGTCGAAAAAGAAAATAAATATGATCATTTTATATCGAATCAAATCTTGTGTGGTAGCAGGGGCAGGAGGGAGGGGCACTGGGTGGCAAAGGCTAATGATCAAATGTACATCCGTTCGTTCTTATCAAATGAATTCTATGATTAAATCTTTTTTGAACATCTATACAATCAAATAACTATTGTATTATATACAATAGTTACAGATTTACACAAGTTTTATTATATTATATCCGAAGTTTAGGAAAAAGAAATTTTTCTTTTTTTTCTTCTTCTTTTTTAAATCCAAAAGAAAATTATACGATTAATACGTAATATAATCGTATTGATATAATTATTTTTAATTAAATGTCATACGATAATTTGATTATATCGTATTATATAATGATATAGTAATAAAAGTATGATTAGAGAACGGTATAATTATAATACATTAATATTAGAATCAATAATAGATATAATATAATAAATATACTGATATAATTATATTATATGTATTTATAATAATTGTACGAATATAAATGATACTATAATTTTTTCTTTTCTTTCTTTTTCTTTTTTTTTTTTTTTCAAAAAAAACATTTTTAGAAAATATCTTTCAGATGAAACTTTTAGATCCAAAGGTATTATCTATATCACGGGGGTATTGTTTAAGTTTTAAGAAAATGAAAAAAAAAAAAAGGAAAAAAAAAAAAGAAGAATAATTTCACCTGAATAAATAGAAAATTAAAGGATCTGTAAGGTGGATTAATAAATTTCTATCGATCTTAAATGATAAATCAATTTGATCGTTGATTCGAAATGAGAACATTTCAATGAGAAAATCCGCGTTTACACTTGGTTCTATAACAATGAGAATAATGCGTCCCGAGTCGCAGGGAAATACACCGTTTGTTGTATCATCGGATAGAATGGTGGAAAGGGGTAGGTTGCGGCGGGTGGAATTGGATAGAGCTGGGTGGAATGAGCTGTGGGGTGGACTGTGGGCTGTGGTGAAGGTGGGGTTAGGCAGATAGGTCGGAGTCGAAGTCGAGCCGTACGTTCGCCAGTATGTAGATACTGTTACACACATTGGGGGCTGCAAAATGTAATCGGCACGGCGCCCTCAATTATTAATTGCTAACCGCGTTAATTACTTGCACGGGCGTAGGAGCAGCTGTCACTGGCGCAACGGCGTAACCGCAATGGATTTGCCGATCTACGATCTAATTCGCGTTAATCATAGCCAGTATTCCCGGGGAACTTTGGGAGAACATAGAGAGAATTCTCGTTAATGGATAAATTCGTCAACGTTTATCGTTTAAAAGGATCATTCGGTGCCTGTCGATATTTTTGACATCCTAAACGATATGCCGATATAATAAATCTAATTTAAAACTGTCGTTTCTCTCTCTCTCTCTCTCTCTCTCTCTCTCTCTCGTTCTGTATATAAGATCGGGTTGATGGAGAAATAATATTTATTTTTTTCTTCTATTTTTCTTTCTCTTTCAAAAAAGGCATAAGATTATAAGATCGTAAGCTCGATCTTATCAATTAAAAGTATTATAAATAGATATTAAACGTTTAAAAAACAAATCATTTATAACATATATATATATATATATATATATATATTTTTTTTTAATATCCTATTGACTAAAGATCACTCGGATTAGTTTTTCGTATTATCTCAAAAAAGAAGGAAAGAAAATAGTTCATTTCCTACGTTTGATCGTGTTACTACTAAACACGGAAGGAAAAGAGAAGAAGTAGAAAAACTTAGAGAGAGACTTTCTCGAAATGAGAAAGAGAGAAAAACAGAGAGAGAGAGAGAGAGAGAAAGAGAGAGAGAGAGAGAGAGAGAAAGGCAGACTCTCTCGAAATGAGAAATTCGAAAAAGAGAGAGAAGTAAATTATTACGACATCGCGTGAGAGAAAAAGACTTGGTATCTCGTTACGTCTATCGCAGAGGATCACAAGAAGTTGGGGGCGACGGGGACAGGCAAGAGGAGGAATAGAAGGAGAAGGATGAGGAGGAGAAGGAGGAGAAGGATGAGGAGGAGAAGGAGAAGAAGGAAAAGGAAAGGGAGAGGGATCTCGGCTTGAGGAAAAAAAGGAAAGAGAAAGAGAATAAAAGAAGGAAAGAAGAAGAAAAAGAGAAATAAAAAATAAAAAGAAAAAATAACAACGACATAGAAAAAAGGGAAGGTAAAAAGTAAGAGATAGTTTTATGATCATCGGGTCGGTCGAATCACGTTATAATACACGCTGTTTTGGGACACGTCGGA